CTGCAATTAAATATAATTTATACCTTCTGCCTAAAGATCCAGAATAGATAACAGTAAATGCCATTATACATTATAGGCTATGTTTGCAAACATTCAAGTGATTGTCCATGACACACTTTGAGATACATTTTTAACAACAACAAGAATTACATAACAATTCAACACAAATTCCTATCCTAAAGTGCAACATATAGAAAATTATTTTTAAAATATTAAAACATCAACATCATAATCCACACAGTGCAGTAATAAGTACAAGTTTTAAGCAAATATTTATCATTTTTTAATGGCACATGTGTAGTAACATGATATATACATAACATTCGAAATGCATGATAAGTTTTACTCAATTTATGCTTGCTATTGAATTCTCTGTGCCTTAAGAGAAATACATACACTGGATATATAACAACTATTTAATCTTATCATTTAATCTATAACTGATATATTCACATTAAAAAAGCTGCTAGGGTATACAAATGATGACAAGTCTAACTAAGAATTGATTCAGTAAATGGCAATCATGAACTGGGCATTTTAAAAAGGAGGAGCAGATTTCATTTTTTTCTAACAAAATTATTATTCCTCCCAGTACTATGTGTCATCTATCATCTGACAGAAAACCAAACAGAAATTATGCTCTTGAGTTCAGCTGCATTCAATAAGATATATAAACATAATTGTATCTCACAAAAGAACCACTTAAAGTGCATAAGAAGATGGTGTATAATACTCTCAGCTCTAAGATCTCTAAACTTGACACTTTCAGCCTTTTGTTATTGGTAGATGCATCCAAAACTCCATTTTATGTACACTGATAAGAAAAAAGATGGGGCAGTTCTATACCTCCCATTCTACTGGGCCGATTGACGAAATTCAACTTGCGTTTTTCAGGTTTGAAAGCAAGACTTAGGATAGGTATTATATTTGTATATAGCATTGTTCTAATACAGGTATTTTGACACAAAGTCTGACTTTTTCTGAAATGACATACCACTTTTTTTTTCCATATTTCAATTCTACGACTCAAATTATGCATAAATATTAAATTTTATAAATTTTGGTGTGAAATTTATGAAGAAATTCAAAAATTTATATTGGCAAATATTTTTCAGTTTACGGCAAGAATAATTCACTTGGCAAACTTCTTAATTTATAGGAATCTGTTTTCCATTCCTTTTTTTAATTGTAAATGAGTGGGAAAAAAGTAACCGTTCACTATTTCAAATAATTTTCACAAAGTGCGTAAACCACATTTGACATTATTATCACTTATAAAAAACATGCAAAATTTAGAAAATGTGCCAATATGTAAATTCACGTATTTCTTAGGAAATTTTGAATGAAAGACTAATTTTTTTCAGGTATAATTAGAAATACGTCTACTTTAAGATGATGCTAAAAATTTTATAGGTTATAACTCAAAAATTTTTTTGAAAAATTTATAAAAATATTTAAAAATACACATTTTAAAAAGAAAGCATAAAAAATGTGCAAATTATGTTTGGATTAAGCCTAAATTTTGAATTCTGGAAGAAGGAATCAAATAAGTTTAATAAAAAAAAGAGAGATTAATAAATATATATCAAATTCAATTAATGCTGAGGAGATAAAATTTTGAGAGCTATTTTTCTTTTTTTTTTTTTAAATTACTCAAGCGATTTTTACAAAACTTGGCAGTTTGGTATGATTTGAGTCATAGAATCGAAATATGGAAAAAATGGCATGTTATTTCAGAAAAAGTCCGATTTTTGTGTCAAAATACAAATTCTAGAACAATGCTATATATAAATCTAATACATATCCTAAGTTGTATTTTTGAAACATGAAAATTGCAAGTTGAATTTCATCAAACGGCCCAGTAGAACGGGAGATATAGAACTGTCGCATTCCCCTCCCCCGAATGTACCATTTGTACCTGTTACAGATGAAGTATAAAATAACATGAATGCCCATGAATAATTCTGCTGCATTTCATATCTGCAATACAGATGCACCACCTGGCCCAGAAGTTTGCCACTTAGTGGCTGTGAAGGGGAAGTTATGAGTCTCTTAATAGCTGCTATACATGTTGCATGTGCCAATTGTACTCTCTGAATGATGCAGAAACATCAGATCTGATGGATTCCCAAAGCCATATGACTATTGAAGTGTTTTTAATTGGAGCCTTGGTTACAGAAGATAAAAATGTCTTTGGTGTAAAAGGAGCACACTTGTCAACCATTATAAAAGTACCCAAGAAAGACAGCAAAATGGCATCTTCTATGCACAGTAATAGATGAATGGCAAAGCTCATTTATAAGGATATAGTGTCCCAAAAGCAGAATCAAATGCTATTCCCCATAACATCTAAAATGAGCAGTCATCTTCAGAACCGTGTTTCAACCAAAACTGTCAAAAAGCAACAGCAAGCTGCAAACATATATTTGTAAACCACTGGTTACAAGCCAGACTTTCAAACTATGTCAGTGGCACAAGTGTGCACCAAAACTGGGCTCCACATCAGTAGCAAAAAGTCACCTGGTTAGATGAATCAACATTCACTTTATTTCAGACCACTACACATGCATGTCCCTGAAGAACATTAACAGAAGCTTTTACATCTGCCTGCCTATTGCTGAGTGTGAAGCATGAAGGTGGCTTCCTGTTGATATGGAGTGTGATATCTCAGCACTGAGTTGGCCCAGTTATTCTGCATGACAAGATAACAGCCAACCATTATCAAAATACCTGGCAGATCATGCACATCCTAAAGTCCATACTTTATAGCCTGGAAAGCAATCGTTGTTTCCAGATGACAACACTCTCATTTCTCCTCTTATGAGTGTTCAAGCATAGTTTGAACAGCATAGTAATGAAGTAAGGCATCTTGGTTAGCTTCCTCAGTCCCCTGACTTGTACATTATTGAATGTTTGTGATGACTGGAAGCCAAATTTTGTGCTAGAATCTTCCTCCAGCTAATTACACTGCTGTGCAGGAGGAATGGCTTCATATTACCTTAAATGTTGCAGAAGACATATACATGCACATACAATGTGTACTTCTGTCAAAGTGTGGTCCCTCAATTAATAAATATTTTATTTTGTAGGTGCTTCTAATATTTTAAACACCATTCATATATTGCAAGACCTTAGACACAGAATCACCAGCAACACATTTCAGTATAATAAAGTAACTATATTATGTATGGCACAAAACTGACTACTGCTTTGATGTATGTCAATTTGAGGTGAATGCACAGAGAATGCCTGACATAGTAAACTTTCATCTTTCCTTTATTACATGATGTATGACACAAGCTGTAAGAAATAACAGCAACTAAATTCTGCTTCTTCTGTTTAAATACTTATATAAAGACATTAATAAACTAATACTACTATTACCATACAGTAAAATTTACATTCATGTTAGTTCAGCTTGAAATAAAAAAGATGCTACAAAAAACTATATACTAATTACTCATTTGGCAAATACCATCGTTCAAATACAAATAAGCAAGTTTAACAAAACGTTTTCCAAGTTACAAAAAATAAATCACTAATGTAAAGCAAATTTTGGAGTAATTTTGCTGCATACCTGTCAGCTAGATCAGAAATTCTTATGAGTGGAATTAAGTCCTATATAAAAGTCATATGTTAATTGACTCTAGGTAAAACTATTTTCATTTGATTTAAATTTTAACAAAATAGTTCAAAAATTTTTAGCCTTATCAAAGCATCAACTATATACTAACTTCAACACTTTTGGGGGAAAAATCAGTTTAATTTGTTCTTAACTAACCATGTAATATTAAATATTTCCTTTTTCAACCTTTCTTTAAACCATTCCACAATCTTTCCAAATATATTCCATACTTCAACTCTATCATAGAATGATGACAATACCATTTCAGAAGGAAACTTTTCTAAGCCACTTGGAAATTCCACAGCTTTCAATGCAAAATGGTCATTATATCCCAAGCATATTCTGCAGAGGATCATTATCTCTAACTTGCATTATTTGATGAAATTTGCATTTTACTGTAAACTTGTGTTTTTAAAATATATGCTACTATATTAAAGTGTGGACAGACAAAATATACTGAAGATTAGCATAGCCTCTGATGATGATGATGTGAAAAACTATAATAAATACTAAAGCAGATATTAATATCAGTACAATTTACAAATAAATATTAATTAAAAATTGTTTTACTGAAGTTTGTGTGTTTGCTGAAGAGCTCTAGTGAATCATAAATAAATTAAATGTAGATTTGTTAGCTTTTCAATATATGAAGTGAACAAAACAATTTATGAAGGCAAATAGAAATCCAACCTTTAGCAAATAATGACATGCGTAACTAACAATGGATAAAATACTCTCATATAGCATTAACTGCTTTATCTAATACTATGTAGTTTAATAACCTAAGGATGATTTCTAACTTAGTAGAGAAAACAGGACTGCAAACTATTCCCTGAATAAGGTAACAGATGCAAAGAAGAAGCAAATATCATGACCAATAAAAAGCAGTTGTATCATTCAAAAGGTTAAACAACAAACTGATAATAAGGATGAAAATAACTTGCATTTTATAATAATGTAAAAACTATACCTTTCTACTATATACAGATTTACTCTCAAACTATTTTTTTAAATTTTATGAAATGATTTTTACTATGGGGTTTATGACCTTTCTTCATTACATTCACATCTTTCCTCAGCCATTTTAAAACAATTTGGTTATTCACATGAGATATTGTTTTATACTCTACTTCATTCACATTTCATATGTAAATTTTATACAAATATGGATGAAGAATGCACAATAAGCATTGAATCAGAAATTTTGTACAGTGAAACAAGAAAAACTCCATTATGATTAAAAAAAATTTTACTATGAGAATGAAGCTTTAAAAATAATAGGAACCTCAGAAATTGTTAAGCAGCAGATTTAACTATAATACAAAGTTATCACAGGTGGAAATTCACCACAAATCAAAATAATAAAAAATACTGTATGGTAAGTTAGTTTTTATTACAAAATATTTATGATACATTCAAAATATTTGATTGATGTCAACAATGTTAAACTGTTTTATTCAATTACATTCTTTCTCTATATAAAGATAAAACAAAATAGCAAGAAACAAGCTGATAAAACTACTTATTATCATCAAATTGCATATTTAATGAAATAAAACCACTAAAAATTAGGCTACACAATTACCTTTAAGTGAAATGCCCATGGATTAAAAACACACATTTTTATGCATTTTCATTAACAGAAATAAGCTTAAATATCTCGCATTTTGAAATTGTGGACTCGTGAAGAAAGTTGGTCATTCTTGAACTCCCAATATTTTTTAGAAATATACATGAATCTACTCCTCTAACACCACACAGAGGAAAAAAAAAAAAAAGAAAAACCTAGCAGCTAAAATGCTGTAGATCAGCAAATAAAAAATGTATAAACAATAGTTACTGAAACAGCATTATTTGGCAATCTTCCAGAACTTCAACACAATATTTTCTAAGACTTGAGATGATAAATTATCATCCTAAAATATTAAACAGATACATGCAGAACTTTGATTTGCATGCATTTATCTATGTATGAGTTCCATTTCTTTGCAGTGTATTTATTAGCTGTGTTTAGCAACATATTTCTTTCAATCAGCACTTTTTCACACTTTACTAACTGTTTGTGTAAGAATTTATATGTTTAAAATAAAGAATGAGAGGTAACCTTCCTATATTAAGTCAAATGATGAAAAATGTAATAAAAACATTAAAACATTCAAACAGAAATGTGTCTAACATGATTGAACTGAAAAGCATATGGCAAACATTTTCACTTACATCATTTAATTTTGATTTAAGTGGAAATGTACCTTACTGTTCAAGCAAAACCATACATATATGGTAAAAAATATATTATTTATCTACATTTAATAATGGAAACTTGAATTTTTTAATTACAATTCTGAATAATTTAATAAAACATATTAATACATAAATAACTTTTTTAATCACATGAAGTATTATTTGAATAAAACACTATTAAATTTCATTTATATGTTTTGTAGTTTAAAAAGGAAATGTTACACCCTACTTAAAGTTTTGTATAGCAAACGAAGGTTATCTTTAGCACTTTTCATGTCTGGCTTCAAGTCTAATGCTCTTTTATAGGCATTTTCAGCAAGCTGGTATTTCTTCCATCTGTGATACAGTACCCCTACAACAGTTAGAAAACAGAATTAAATCAGACCGAAATGCCATTAAAAAAGTCGCAAAAAGGCAAAAATTTACTAATTATCAGTACATTTGTTTAAGCACTTTCGAAGCAAGATTGTCAAGAAATTCCACTAGACAGTCCACTATTTAGAAGTTGTATTACATTAATAAATATATATAAACTACCTTTAACAATACCAATGTTGCATCATACTAATATTTTTAAGTATTATAACATTATCTGAAATATTTTACATACTCAAGCATGAAGAAGAAACACAAAAACTTCCTTCACTTAAAACTGTAAAGTTTAAAACAATACATTTTTTTAAACAGAAAGTAGAGAGTTGATAAATAGTTTAATGCACCTCCTAATCAAAAGAAACTTTTTCTCATACAATTATCAAAAAATTAATCAAATTAAAACAAACTGTCTAATCTATTACGTCTAATCAAAATGCTTATTCCAGGTATTAATAACATTTTACAGGGTTTAGCTCAACACCTTAATGCAAATCTAGGGTAAATAAAAAAAAAAAAAAAAAAAAAAAAAAAATCTGAATATTTCATCCAACCAATTTTCTATACTTTGTCCTAAAGAAATTGGTGTTAAATTTTCTTGCAGTTCACAATGGTAATACTACCGTACAAAATTATTCATAAACAAGGTATCATAAAAGGAAGCATTTATAAAGCACATACGAATTTGTAACAGAAAAATGAGCTAAATTTTTATTAAAAAATTTTCACAATCATGAAAACCACCTTTCACTAAAACAATTAGTTTGTGAAAAGGTTTCTTATACAGGGATACAGTTTCATATACTCGGTAATTCTCAAAAAGTAGGCACAATTTTTTATTTTTTGATTCAGAAATTTTTAGTGTGTTATAAAATGTTTTGAAGTACTCCTTTCCTTATTGCATGATTATCACTTAAAAAAATCATGGCTGAAAAATAAGAGTTGAATTGTTTCAAAACGAAGGGTCTGTATGAAATCAGAAGTGGCTTTGCAAAGGACTTTTTGAGAGAAACTGACTGGTATTTATGTTACACATGCGGAAAATCACAAAATCAACCTGCTCGCTGAGATATGGACTGAATTCAGCTACCAGTGATCATTGATTTTACTGCAGGAGGGTCTATATAAAGATACAAAGTCTAGTAAATCTTCAAGAAATTTTATGATATCAGCATATATTTATTCAATATTTCGATTTCCTCAAAAATATGTTTTATTCTTCATATTTAAAATTTTTATTGTAGTTTTTTCTATTTAATATTGCCATCTGACAAATGCAAAATGTAATGCAAAACAATGAAAATATAATCAATAAACAGATTTTTGAAACTAAAGACTATTAAAAAGAATATACAAAAGGGGTGGGAACCCGAAAAGAAGTTATTACCGCAAAAATGGATGAAGGAACAATGAACACCGATATAAAATATTTACAGCAAAATAAAAAAGTTTTTAATAAGTACACAAAAATACGAACAAACTAAAGACTTGAGTATGCTTTGATTTTACGCATACCTATGAAATATTAGTTACCAAGGCATCTTTTCAATATAAGCAGTATTGCAAAATTAATATTCCATTTATTTGACAATTGCTTCAGCTATGAAATAGCAATTTCGTGTTTCCTAGTTTATGGAAAAGAGGCAGCGGGGCACCAGAAAAGAGAAAAATTTCTTTTGCATTCCCTAGGTTCTTATCTGAAAATTAACAGAGGTGATCCCCTAAAGGTCCATTTTCAAATAAGCAGTTGCTTCTGCAATGCCATCAGAAAAGAAGGTGAAATTGCATTCCTGTTTCTTGTCTTTTTAAGTAAAATTCTTTGAAATTTTACCACCATTTATATGTTAAGCAAAGTTAAAAAAAAAGAGAGAGACAGAGGGGGGAGGTAGGGAGAGAGAGAAAGAGGAGTTCTACAGCTCCTGTTCTAGTTGGCCAAATGACAAAATTTAACTTGTATTTTTCATATCTTAAAAGTGCAATTTAGGATATGTATTAGATTTATATATAGTATTACTTTAACATACATATCTTGACATAAAATAGGCCTTACCCAAAATGACATATTGATTTTTTCCCCAAATTTTGATTATATACCTCAACTTATGATTAAATACCCAATTTTGTAAAAATTGCATAAACTGTTCTTGATTTATAAGCATACTAGTTTTAAAAATCTAGCAGCAAAAAAAAAAAAAAAAAAAAAAAAAAAAAAAAAAAAAAAGAGAGTTTTAAATGGAAAACTCCTAATTTACGTTGCTTTACTGGAGCTTATTAATTTTGCATTTAATCATGACTTTGTTTTCTCTCCCAATATACTGCATTTTTTATTCTGTGCATTTAAAAAAGCTGTTCAAATGTGAGGAAAATAGATAAGAGTTTAAAAAAATTCCCACAAAATTTAACTCGTGAATAAAATTTTATACTTAAAATCAATATGCCGTATTGAAGGTGAAGAGTTTATTGTATAATGCATATATCTTGTGCATATGAATTTTGATTATCTAAAAGAATTAATAAGATGATAGGCTAATATTATTAATGGATTATACAAATTACAATTTAAGTATATATTTATTTAATATCCACGTGGGAAAATAGGAGTGTTAAGTGATTTGTGTTAACTTAAATTTTTGAGCTCACTTGGCAGTTCATTTGTCAGATTTTGCTTTGCTCTGGCATACGACAATCTTACTGGGAAGGGAGGCATATTATTTATCTTTTTGTGGCTAGCCAATCAGCTTTCTCTTTGCTGCCAGTGAAGAAGACAGAACAGGAGAAACCAGGAAGCAAAATACACAAACATACCTGTTACTACAATTCATGGTTATTATGATTATGACTTTAATTTTAACTTTGATAAATTTTAAGCTTTTGAAATTTCCCAAGCAAAAGTAAAATTATTTTTCAGTTAACAGAATTTGTAAAGAAATGTGGAGAAGGGTTAAGGAATCATGATACTATAACAGAAGTTTCCCATTGTGATGACAATGCTGTAATCATCAATCAGCTAATGGACAAAATTTTTAGTATGGTTTTTAACCATGGGTTATAGACGCGAAATTCCGTATTGAAGGATGGCTTCTCCATTCATTACACATGAACATTTCTCCCAGATCACAATTCGATTTAGGATTGTATGTATACTGGAAGCAACCAGGATACAAAATGAAAGGTTCATTTTGGACTTATAACAAGAAAATAGCACTTATTCATGACATTTTGAAAAACTTTGAAATTTCACGGTCAAACCAATAACTGTCACGGTTAAATCCAGTAAATATATTTAAATTGGTAGAGAAGACAGTGACAAAGAGGATTGTTGAGACCAAAAATATTTCTGCTGACAGTTCAGCTGGAATTCTCAACACAACAATTACAGGACTTCAAAAAATGGAGCTGTACAAGAAATTATGTAAAAGAAAAAATAGAAAGTATTAGCACTGAAAAGGAAAAGAAACAGCTTATAAACTCACACTGAAAGAAATGTTTAAGAAGTAAATGCCGTTTTATTTTTTTTTTTAAATTTGTAAATTTTCATTTTTCTAAGGTTTTATTTCGATTCTCCTATTCTTTTATTTATCATTGGATATTTGATTCTGACTCTCCTATTTTTTTATTTGTCATCGACTTACATAACACCATATACAATCCTCTCCACATAAAATATTTGAAATTTATGCATTTAAAATCAAAACATTTCATGAGTTGCAAACCTGAGAATGATAACATCTGTATGTTCCATTGTTTAACAGTAGCGGACTGTATTGTGACTTGCAATTACTTCAGCTGAATTTAAGAAACTTCAGACTCAAAAAACTTGACCGAATCTCTTTATTGATGGTTCAAACATCATGTTGGCTGAGGAACGGCGACAGAACACGGGGAACCTCTAGCTTCAGAAGTCCATCTTGAAGAACCTCTGCCTCATCGGAACTCCAGTAATTCCTAGCAATCATAATGCCCCAAACGCAAGCTTAAAAACTCTAACAAATTTGCGTCTGCACCGCTCCTCAGTTCAACAAGAGAAATAAAATTTACATAACATCAAAATTAAATTATTGATTTAAAAAAGAAATTGTTGATAAAAACAGAAAAATAAAAGTACTATAAGGTTTACACTTCCATCTTTAGCTTATACAGCTTATAATATACAAACACAAATACAGTTATACTTGCATCAAATTCAAAGTTGGTAACATATCCTCAATTTATAATTTAGAATGTCATTACATAGTTTTTACTCAAATACATAAATATATGTTCGAAAACAATTATCCAAAATAATTAACTTTGTACTAGTGTCTCTACATTTTGCTGGTAGTCTAATAAATTCTGTCACTTCTAGTAGTTTTAGTCTGATGGCAGATTCTTCTTAAATCGTCTTGAAAAAGCTCTACACTTGAATTTTTACTACAACTGCAGAGTAGGGACTTATTTCCAAAGGATAAATCCTTTTGGCTGGCCATATAATCTCGCCTCTTCAAGCCTTTAAACACACAACAAGAATATTCACATCTTTCTTCAGATATATTTCAAAAACTTTTGCTAGAAGCCAAAGAATTCTCTTTGAATCACTTTCTATGTAAACAATATCACCTAATTTTAAATTAGCAACTGCCTCTTTCTGACGATTCAAAGTACTCAAAATACTCCAACTGAAATCTCCTTTTTTGGATGTTCTCTCAGGGGCTGTTAGTATCACCATCTTTTGTTGACATCCATCTTATCCAAATGGTCAAGATCAGGAACTCCCACTGTCAGATAATTCTGCAAAAACATTGCAGAGGTTAAGAAATCACATTATTGGGGTCCTCAGACAAGGAAGTCAATGGCCTTGAATTTATCACGGCTTCACAATTACAAAGGATACTGTTCATTTCCCCATTACAAACAGAAGCATTTCCTAAAACTTGTTGAAGGAGTGAATCATTTACTCTAATAAATTCTGTCACTTCTAGTAGTTTTAGTCTGATGGCAGAT